AATAATGTGTGAATTTTAAGCTATTTCAGTTATATCTCAAGAAGCATTAAAACGATTTTTATGTAACTTGGTAAGAATGTTACTAATGATTGGCTGCTGCAATTCCTTGTTTTATTTTACATTTTACATTTTAATTAAAATTTAGCATTTTTTATGTATTTTATTATTTTTTTTTTTTTCTGCCCAATTGCATGAATACAACTAATAGGAATCGGTGAGTGGACTAATTTGCATAATGATGCGCATGCGTATTCTATTTTTTATGACCAGCAATTTATGATGGTGTCGGCCATTTTGTTATTTCCAGTGTGTTGTACAAAAACGAAGCAAACGCTCGGGAGCTGACATGTATCTGTTTATATTATGAAAAGGTCTAAGAAATTACATGTATGATAAATAAATAAATAAATAAATAAATAAATAAATAAATAAATAAATAAATAAATAAATAAATAAATAAACAAACAAATGTATAACCTCAATGACTGTGAAACGAATTACTGTGCAAGCTAGTTTAGTTTAGTTTATTCACGTGTGGTGTACAATTACATTCGAGCCACATTACTTTGAACCCTGTGTGGGCCCAGTAAAGAAAATAATGAATGTGAGATTCCTCATCGTCAAAAACATGGCAGTGTTGAAGATATGAAGATGGTTGGGAGGTTTGATTTCATGGTAAAATGTTATGTCAATTTGTTGTACTTGTGAATCTTGATTTATCACCGTATTATTGAACACAAGAACAAATATGGTGACCTCCAGCATCAATGTAGTTGTATCAAGTCGCTGCCGTAAGGAGATATTTCCTTTCTATCGCTTACCAACATTGTATTGTACTTCTTTCCATTATGAATTACATATATACACATTTGGAAACTTGCATGGTGCACTTTCACCTCCACCCTCTCAAAATTACGAAGCTATCAAGTCGATTAGTAGGTATATGATGTCTATGTGTGTAGATGACTACTGCGTTGTGCAAGGGCTTCTCATACGTAAGTGGGGTACATTCCCAGTAAAAATATCTACCAGGGGTATTTACACAGGGCTGACAAAATTTGCCGACATGTGTAAATATGTGTTGGGATTTGGAGAAAAAAAACTTGTAAAACATACCGAATTTAACATGACAGCTGTGATCAATTTTGATGCCGATTGTTGGTGGGCTGATCAGCATGTCGAATTATTTCTGAGAACGTTCTTCGTGTGGGAAATCACAAAATCATTAGCTGGTTTACCTTATTCTTGTGTCAGAGTACCCTGTACAAATGAAATGAATCAACATGCGATGATTACCAAAACAATTTGACAATCTGTGTCTCATTTGTTCACCGCTCCTCAAAACAGTGTTATGAGGGGTATTTTTTCCCAGTCCTTTTCGTCAGAAATTACGAATTCATTGGCTGTAATATATCCCAGTTTACTTTAGTTGTTTCATCCGAGTATTCTGTAAATTGTTTTTACCTAGCAAAGGAAACAAT